AGAGTATGATAAAAAAAAACCTCCTGGATCACTGGGGGCCAAACTAGCCTGGAGAATAATTGCTTCCTGGCCCCAAAGTGGGGATCAGCATTTCCCTGGGCGTGTAAGAAAGGGCCACAAGAACTAAGCACTGATGCAACCCTTCCTGCTCTACCTCTCGTGATTTGCCTAAGTTCACACAATCAGCATTATGATCCTTTTAAAATTGAAAGCATGATATAAATGCAAAGGACTATTTGTAAGATTTTCTTTAAGACACAAGACCAGGACGCATCTCACTTCTGGCAATCACTTGGAGAGACCCTATCACTCAGCTTCCATTGCCCCCCACACACCCCACACTGGAATAAGAACATAATATCAGGCCATAGCACATTGCAATAAAGCCCCTACAACTGTATACAGAAATACTGAGCTTCCCTACCATTTGCCACAACTAGCCCACCACACAACCAGGATCAAGACTCCTAAGTGGACCAACAGACAGGCATACACTCATTTGAGAAACTGAGTATTACATTACAACACCTCTGGAACATTACAGATCAGTAGAGGCAGCACTGCACAGTGGTCAGAGTTGCAGATTGATGTGGGGAGACCCAGGTTTGTATTCTCACTCTGCTGGCTGAGTGACCCCGGGCCAAATCTCCCCTTCTCTACCTAACCTACCCCACAGGGTTGTTGTGAGGGTAACACACACACAATTTTTAAAAAGGTGTTCAAAAGTTGGAACTATTGGAAGGGGAAGGACTTGCCTGGGGCACCACTGGATCTAGGGCTGGTCCTGCATACATGCAGCTGGGATGAATCTGAATTAGCGTTACAGAGTGCTCAGGGGTAAAATCTGTAGGGGCTTGCTACATGTCCCCACCCCCTGGCCTCCTCTCAGGGCCGGCCCCAGTTTTTTAGCACACTAGGCTGCAACAAACTTTGCAACAAAATCTGAAACACTATGTACAACAAATACTTTTCAGCAAACTAAATCCTGGCTTGAGTCCAGTGGCACCTTTAAGATCAACAGATGAGCTTTTTTGTGCACAAACACTCTTCTTTAGATACAATGAAATATA